TTTTTTTTTGCAGAACCAGGGATTGAACTCAGGCCCTTGCGCTTGCCAGGCAAGTGCTTATTCCACTGAGCCATCTCCCCAGCCTGGTAACATACTTTTGAGCATGCTGGAAAATGTGAACTCTTGTGAAAAATCCCTACAGGAGAAAAGACAAAGACATTATTAGAATCATGTTCCTAGTATTCTATAGATCATTTTGACAAAACTTCCATGTAATACATTTAATTGTCAGGTGAAATTAAAAATCTTAGTATGTTGACATTTGTATCACTTTTTATTCTCTTGATAAGTCTGAATAAAAAAGAGGACAGCTGTTACTGCTATGAACTGTATTGCTGGGTTTTGGGAGACTAAGCTTAAATAAAATGATCATAATTGCCTTTGTTCACGGATAAGAAACTATCTTCATGTGCCACACAGCAATTGAAAAAGTGAGAGGTACTGTTCACATTTTGCTAAGACAGAAGAAATCCTTTAATAAGGAAAACATGAAGGAAGGCTGACCAGAAAGAGGTTCACAGTTTGGTAAATACAACATTTGTCCTTTATGACCTTTCTATATGTTTATTTTTGAGTCTACTGCATCCTGTGTGCGTGGAGAAGGGAATGATTGGGATGTATATGACATGGCTTACATTACAGCTTATTGAATTCTGTTTGATTTGGGATTCAGTGCTTGCAGAGAAGGGGAAAATGGGGAAGAAAATAATAGAGACAATCGGGTATCTTTGGGAAGCAATGAATGTTTATATAGTATAGCATACTTTTATCAATTTAAGAGCAAAGAAAAATAGTCATAGGATTTCTCTAGAGCAACAGTGGCGAAAAATGAGCTTCCTCAAGCAAAGCTTGTATTTGTTTAAAAGCTGATATTTGGGGAGATGGCTCAGATATTTTATGATATTTTGTTTTGCTGTGATATATATGAAAGCTAGATCTTCAAAATGAAATTGTGCAATTGTAGACCCGTGTATCTGATACAAGGTTCTTATGAAGTACAGTTGTGCTTATGTTTCTTCTCCTACAAGTACTAATAATTCAGGCCCTGCTTTTTATTTATTTTTTTTCATAATTTTATTGAGAAACAAATAGTAATGAGACAGTTTCAAATCAAATTGGTAGGATAGTTTCAATAATTAACACATTGCATACATTCTTCCTAGTGGTTAATTGCTGTAGGCCCTGCTTTTTAACAGGCACTCGGCTATCATGTAGTAGACATTAAATCTGAAAAACTGCTGCTGGCCTAGGCGTCAAAGCACATAATTACCCCAGAACTTCTGGAAGTGATTACTAGGACACAAAGGGTTTACTTAGCTATTGCTCTTGTGCAGAGCTTCAAAGGAGTAAGGAAGTAGGTTTCTAGAATTGAAGTAATTCTTTTCATGAATAAAGAAAGCTTTTATTTGCTTGCATTGTGATATGTAATATAAATTCACAAGAAATGAAGAGATCATTCACTTATGAAGTTTTAGAATTAGAAAATGTTCTGCATTACACATTGCACATCAGTTTTATGAAATAACTCATATCTCTCATAATCTGTTTATTTATAGCTCCACTATCATCAACAGAAGTAAAGATGTAATTCAAATAGTAATACCTGAACCAATATTTGATGAAAGACCACATTATATCTTAGGTAAAATTAAACTCAGTATGTTTTGTACTGAATTATATGGCTATACATTATATTGAATTATTTTTATAATTTAAAGTAAATGATAACCAGTTACAGTGAAATTACAACTAACTTAAAATAAGGACAAAGATTAATAAAGCTACTGGTCCCGCTCCTTCTACTGCTATGCAGGAAATTGAAGACTAAATTACAGCTCACTGAAATCATCTTTAAATACTTTGCATGCTTCATGGATAT